ATTATTAACGGTCACAATTAACAATTACAAACAATACTTTGTAAATAAATGCCGGCTTCCTCTTTAATCCCGTCTGTGCGCAAGTGCAGATTAACCCTTTCACAATCCCTCCTCTCCTATAGTATATGTTAGCTCCATTCTACCTTTACTTTGATGTGTGCATTAAACCCCTTCCTCTCCATCCTCTCACTGTATGTGACCTGTACATTAACCCCTTCACCCCCTCTTCCCTCTGTCTATGTTCTGTACATTTATTGTATCTTGTGCACGATTACCAAGCTCCATATTTTAACTCCCTCAATACGAGCATGTTTCTAACCTACCTCCTACCCCCATTGGGACCTCCCTCCTCTGCATTTTTAAAAACATTTAAAAACAACATCACTGGTCCTCCACCTGCTCTTCTTCCACCAGCAGTAAGCAGGCCCTGAGTTTTGCAGAAAACAGCACCAAATATTGATATAGTGTAATTCACTGCAGCATTCTCAGTAAGGCCAGGGCAGCTTGATGACACACCCCCAGGGAGCACATCCTTGACACCCTCGGCTCACAGAAAGTGCTTTGAATGATGCTAGCAGTCATTCAACCCCAAAGAGGAGCAGTGCTGAGCCACAGAGGGAACATCATTAGAGCATTTTTTATTTTAAAAAGAGCTGGGGGACTTTAATTTAACCACTTAGAGACCAGGTATTTACACCCCCTTCCTGTCCAGGCCATTTTTCAGTGCTGCGGTACTTTGACTGACATTTGTTTCGTCATGCAATGCTGTACTGAAATTAATTTTATATTATTTTTAGGGGACAGATAGAGCTTTCTTTTGGTGGTATATAATCACTGCTGGGGTTTTTATTTTTTTCTATATTAAGGAAAAATTACCGAACATTTTGAATTTTATTTTACATTATGTTATATTACATTTATTATTACCCACTTTTTTTTGTAAAATATAAAAGACGGGGTCACGTCGGGTAAATAGACACCAAACATGTCAAGCCTTAAAATTGCACACACCTGTGAAATTGCGAACAACTACCATACCCAAAATTGACCATAGACGACGCTTTAAAATCTTTTACCGCTCATCTGTTTAGTGCTATCAGTGATTAATGGCCCTAAAACTATTGCTCTCACTCCGACGTTCGTGGTGATATGTATCATGTGCGGCGTAATGGGCGCAATCGTCGTTTTCACAACATATGCGTTCATGATGCATCTTTGCGCGCCTGTATGTGTGGGTAGAGACATTAAAACATTTATTTTTTATGTGTGACTTTAATTATTATTTTTTTGCAACTTTAACTTTTTTGACTATTTTTTTTGCACTTAACTTTGATATAACATAAGGGGCTAAGAAGTCCCCTATGTGATAGCAAAGAGGATGTGACAGGTCCTCATTATGGAGACATCAGAGGTCTCCAAGACCCCTAATGTCACCTAGGGACCCCCAAAGCAGCTGATGGATGAACACACGAGTGGGCGGGGCTAACAGGCTGTCTTTTGATGGCCGCTCACATCCAAGAACTTGTTTTGTTTTTTCCACCGCCTCCCGGCCGGCCGCTATGAGGCGGTTAAAAAGCAAAAAAATATAAATCTGGAATTGGTCTTTAAAGTTACTAAGTGCAAAGAAAAAATATGAATACAGGTGAAAAAAGAAAAGCCAGAGAAGATAATGTAACTTTAAATGGTCACACTTGTTAGGACTCATTGTCATGTTCTTGCCCTTGTGTGTTCCAAAGGACTAAGCTGACATTTTCTAAGAAACTTCCTTGAACTGCTGCTTTAAAACCTTTACCACTCCCCGGGTCTTAATCGCCCCATCAGACTTCTATTCTTTTTATTTTTCCAACCCTAATGTTTGTGGAGAGAGATGCCCAGAAACAGCAGGAAGCAGCATTAATAGAGAAATGTATAGCTTTAAACTTCATTTATGGGGTAGAGGAAGGAGGGGGTCTTATATTATTCTCTTGCCATCTCTGAATGTGCATTTCCCATATAATAAGTGAATAATAATATGGAGTGATTGGTAAGAGTGGCCTTTTCTCCCCTCTCTGCATTTAATAAAATCGCAAAATGGCTATCCCAACAGGTGGTCCCTTTCAAAGTCTTAAAACCACAAGAATCGGAACAAAAGAGGCATCCGTACCTAATGTTCAGTGGGATTTCGAAAGCTGTTCTTTCTTTTGTTAATTGTCAGATTTAGCTATGTTCATTGCTGTTGAACCACAAATTCAAGGCATTTTTAATGGACAGTTTTTTTGTCCATAAAAAAAGACACTGACGGCTGCTGACTAGCCAGCTAGCAGTATTTGTTAATGTGGGCCGGAAATGAGAGGTTAACAAGAGGCGGGACGGCCTCACTTCTAAAATAGTCAAGAAACACAAAAAAAAAGAAAAGAAAAGGGAGAGCCCCAAACTAGGAAGGTTTAATACAAAGGCTATTTTGGAATAAATACTCGCTATACTGGCACTGCTGCTTCCTAAAAAAGAAACGTAGCATTTTGGATGCGATGTGTTGAATAATTACAATTTTTGGTAAACCAGATTAAAACATTTTATAAGTATTAACACTGTGTTTGGATGCTAAGAAATAATAGGGTTTATAGGGTGTACTCATGCAGCAAAGCACTTTAGCCCTGCACTTCTCCTATGGTGCACTTCTGAGCATCAGTCAGGGGAGGGGAAAGCTAGGCTGGCAGTCAGGGGGCATTTGCCCCTCGGGCCTGCACTAATTTATGCTGGGCTTGTGGCACTATGTGTTGTGTAGCAGGATCTACCTATTGATCCCAGCGGTGGTCGCGTGCTGGTCTGAGTGCATTTCACATGTTTCAGCTGGGCGGCACCAGGCATCCGTTAAAGGAGAACTATGGGGTTCTATCTTTTCTTTATTATTGCATTCCTTAGGCTAAATAAGTAAATTGTGTAATGTACTCCTATTAGCCAAAATGCACCCTAAGCCTGTAAACCCTTCTTTAAGATGGTGGGCGGGGCTAAGCGCCGCAATGAGGAGAGATCCCGACAATACTGTCAGGATCCTCCCAACTGAAAAAAGGGCGCCTCCATAGTGTAAAAATGTAATTTAATAATAAAACACGCAGCTCTAGGCTGTACTTACAGAAATTCAATGGAATAAATGCATGTAGAATTCGATGGGAAATCGGAACCTCTAGCAGGGAGAGTCTGGAAAGATGTAATTCACCAGCGTCCTCTGCCCCTATGATTTCAACAGGTTTACGTGTTTCTGGGGCTGACCAGGCCTCAAAGCCTGGGGACTAGCCATGAAATCACCCTGGAGCCTGGTGGCAGCAGGTCCAGTGGTTGCTACTGCTAAAGACAAGGATCAGTAACTTCTACTTCAAGTAATGCAGTGTCAGGTGTTTGACCTGCTGTGCATGGAAGCTGTAACCACACTCTCTCTGAAAAGTAACGGAGGCTACATCTGCCTGGATGATCCTAACCCTCCGCTACCTCTCTCCCTGAAGTTCTGCAAATAAAAGTCTCTTGCATCACAACTACAGTCTGGACCTCACTTCAATCGTTCAACAGAAGGGCGGTAAGTGCTGATTGGCAGAAGCGAGCAAATGTATCCCTAGACAGGACGAATCGGAGCTGTCATAACCCATAGCAACCGACCCTAGTACTCAAGGTGTGCTGGTGTGCTGTGGATCCATAATGGAGGTTTCTTATGGAGGAAAGATAGGGAGACCCGTTAGTTCAGTTTACTGTAGATCACCCCTTCAGAGCTGGTAGTGTTATCCTTTGCAAGGATAGCGCTGACCGTGAAGGGGGAGTGCTACACAAAAAAAGGGGAAAAAGGGAAATCGTCCAGGAGGGGCACTTGTTTCAGTGGCAATAACAAGAGAGGATTTCCTTTACTTTGCAGAGATTTCCTCACACATCTTGTTGTATCTACAGGGCAGACAGATAAAAGGAAATCTTCCCAATGGGACATACATGGCAACAAACTAATATAGGTTTTAGGGCCCATTTACTTCTTTGTGGTATGTTAATGCATGTGCGGTAAATGCATCTTAATGTGCATTGTAGTAAGGCAGCCCGTTGAAAATGAATGGGTTGCCAACACACTCTAACATAAGTGAGCACATAACTCCTTTTCTCTAACGCAATGCACCACTATGGACTACTTTGCATTGCCATGCATTGCAGTGTATTGCAATCAGGTTTGTTGTCTTAGTTTGTTGGGATTCCTTTCAGTAAAAGTGAATGGCACTGCAACACAGCAACACATGTTACGTGAGTTACTGAAATGCGGAAGTGTAAATGGACCCTTAACCCTTTTGCTGGCAACGGGCCTCTGTAAACAGACTCTGCTTAGCAGTGTAAAGCTGAGTTACCACCAGATTGCTTCCAGGGACTGGCGAAGGGTGCCCACGCTCAACAACCCCATCTTCCTTCCCGGGCTCCGCTGCCATTCCTACGGGCCCGGCCTCAAGGGTAAAGGGGAGAAAGACCACCAAACCTTCGTTTGCCGAGCTCCACCCCACTGAATGGAGCCAGAAGCGCCGTTGATTGCATCTCTTCCAGTTTCTCAGCTGCCATTCTCCAGCTAGTGAAGGCAGGAAAGAAGCTATTCAAGCACGCTCTGCACTTGAATAGCTTCTTTGCAGTGGAAAGGTGACACAAGGCATCTAATAGACCCCTAATGCCTCCTTAAAAGAGAACCAGTCACCACTAATATGCGATCACATAGGAGATTTGTGTGCCCCCCCATGTGATAGCAGGATTTTATAGAGTTGATTATGGACAATTTGGGGTACCGTATTTTGTTTCACGGGGCCACACAATTTTTCAGCTCGGCATGTTGCACATCTATTTACTCAGCACAACCTCATCTTTTAATTTTTTTTAAAAATGGGTATTATATTGTGTTTTTGTGCACTAAAACTTTTTACTGAAATTTTGGGTTTGATAATGATTTGCAATAATATCATGCAACCTAAACATTTGTAACTGCTGCCACTTTATTTTACAGGGTCTGTAACTCTCTGGGTTTTAAGCGGTTTTCAGGCCTAAAATGTGGATTATAGCACATGTGCAAAGAAAAAAAACAAAACACCATGGCTGCGGAAGGGATAATCATTCACTTCTCCATACAAAATAAAAATATAATTGGCTTACTTTAGGGGCACTGCCATGCCATTTATTTTGTTAACGCTCTGCAAAAATATAAATAGGCCCCCAGTCAAATATCCTCCAGCTGAATCAATACATATAAAATAAGAGGTATCACAATAAAGCACTGTACTTCCATTCATACATTATTTTCCTAATGAGGTAAAATGCTATCTAATGTTACACAGTATGTGTGTGTGTGTATGTATGTATTTTAATGACAGCTTAACTTTTTGCTTAGTCAATTTGCAATGTTTTATTAAAAAATAAAGAGTGTTTCAGCAAATTATCTCTATTAAACGTTGCAACTAATACTTAAATATTGAGTATTTACAAAAAGATCCTTTATTCATTAGAGAACTGAAAGAAGCCTGCCTTACTCACATAATGTGCAGTGCTTCAATGGCTCAGTATATGGCCTTGTCTCCATTCCAAGAATAAATTGCAAGCTTTTGTTTTACTTTGTGTACACTTAGCAATTTACTTAAAAACGATGCTTCTCTTTGCCGTTGTAGAATCAAACCTACAGAAAATGATTAGAGAACAGATCAATAGAGTTCAATGGCAGATCAGAGACAAACGAGGAGGATCTATCACGAGACAGACCTGCTTTCTATGGCCTTGTACTCAGCACAGAATTTATTGATGTGTTCCTTTGCTTAGATAAATATTTTCTAAAGTAAAAGGGAAACATATTTTCATCTTGACTTGGTCTGTCTATGCAACTCTTATTTATTTATATTTATTTTTCATAATCATTAACTAGTGATGTATAGTGCATATGGTGAATATTAAAGCACAGTTCGAGCCATTTTTTCAAGAAAATTCTTTGAATATGGATTCCAATCTAAAGTTAAATGTGCCACATTCCCAATATCATATACTGTAGCACCAAAAGGAGAAAAACATTATAGGTACAAAATATATATTTCAATTTTATTATGTTTAAAATAATCTTTTGTATTAATTTTCTATTGCAAACTAATACATTTAATAAAATATATTTTTAGAACATGTAACTACCTTAATACGGATCTACACAGATCAACTTATCTACATATCTATCTCAATTACATCACCATAAGTTTAGTTGTACAGCAAAACCCCACTATTCCCTGTAACATTGGGGCTTTTTATCCAGACATGGGTATAACCATTTTTAAAACCCTGGGGCTTCAGCTAGACATATAAGGACAAGCTTGTTCTGAGGATTTCAAGAGGCCGTTGATGGGTTGCACACATGTGGCGCTAAAGGTTTTAAAACTAACATTTTGATCTATGTGATATTACACATATACTCACCTCTCTCCTAAAGAAGTGAACTTTGTTCACAAAATGTGTGGAAAGTCTTCATCACCTCCCCATCACAAGTTGGACATATGTGGTTACATATACACATTTCAATGTACAATTGTATCTATGAAGTGAACATTATTAATATAGAATATTTCAACAGTAATGAAACCGGAGTATAAATTTGTACCTAAAATGTCCAACATTCCCTTTTGTTGTAAATGCATTTTTGTTTGTGACCCTCAATACTGAGATTTTCCCTCATTTCCTGTCCATTAGATATCCATGCAGGAAATGAGAGGGGGAGGGGTAGTCACGTTGACAGGAAGGAAATACAAACTTTGATAGACATTTTAACTCTCCCTCTGTTAAAAATAGACCCAATAGGGAAACCAATGGTAATAAAGCCTGCTCCTTGACAATTTTACACTGCTGCATCATCTGCAGTCTCTAAACTTTTAATAAGAGCTTGCTAGAAATTGGACAACAGTGTTACATCGGCAAGAACAGCAAACTACTGGGCAGTTTCTATCTGCCAGTCAAAGTGGGCTTATTACCACTCGATGAAAAAGCTACCTTGCTGTTAAAACTACCTGCAAAAACCTTTTTTGAAAAGAATCAGATAGGGGAACTGCTGCAGGTATGTAAGCCAAGCTAAAAGGAAAATTATGAAAAATTACAGTATACAATTCTGTAGCACCGTACAGCTTTAGAGAAGAAGTCTCACCTAGGGTTGCCACCTTTCCTTCAGGCCAAACCCGAACACTATAGCGCTTCACGGCAATTTGTTTGTAAAGTATACACTATGCATGTATTTTGTAAATAAACGACATTTGAGTTAATCACAACTTGCCAGTATGCCGCAGGTCCCCAGATATGCATTCTGTAGATAAGTGTACAAAGCAGTACCCATATACCTTGCCGCACTTCTTACCAGATATGCCAAAAGTAACGGGTGCCGGTAATGACTGCGGATGGCGCTGCTCACAACAGAACAACAATACAGATGTCTCCAGCACACCGGCACCAAGATCCCATGTTACTGCAAAATCCATTTGATTGGTAGTTGTCATTCCTAAGACAAGCACTTTCTGGGCTGGGCAGGGTCCCCTTCATCAGGCTCAGAAATTACATTTTATTATGTCCATATAAAAGTTGTGGCCCTTTTATGTAATGCTATTTCTGAGCCTGATGAAGGGGACCCGGCCCAGAAAGCGCTTGTCGTTTGAATGACAACTATCAATAAAATGGATTTGCAGTAACATGGGATCTTGGTGCCGGTGACATCTCTTTTGGAGTTCAGATATGTACTATGGCACATAAAAGATGCTCCCACAAAAGATGTCACAGGTTACTTGTGGCATTTTTTATGGGGGCACGTTTTATGGTCTATACTAGCCCCCCCCCCTTTTCAATTGATATTTAATACAGTATAATATATATATATATACACGGTTACCTGTTAGTAGTGGAGACTGGGGCGTGAGACTGGGGTGGTGCCGGCTATTTGG